TCTTCCGGCGACTTCAAACCGATTCTCTTCCGGCGACTTCAAACCGATCCCCTTGAGTCGACTTCCAACAGAAAGTACTTCTCTTTCTGAAAACACTGTCTTATACCAATTACCAGTTACGCAATTTAACTTTATCATGTAACTTGATCATTTGGTGTATGTTTTCAACTAAAAATAACAATTACTGATTAACTATTGGCGAGCAAATGCACTTTCCCTCCGTATTATGTCCATTCATCTATAACGTTTTTAAGTGCACCCTTTATTCCAAAAAGCTGGAATCGCACTTGTTGTAGATGAGTGAAAGGTGTTTTTTACACTGGTGAACGTCAAACACTTAAAACACTGAAAGAGTACAGTTTTACGCCGCAATTTGCAGTGGTCAAACATATTATAGATTTCCCAACCTCCCCTACAATGAGTGAGTTTTGTTTTACGCCGCTTTTAGCATTATTCCAGCAATATCACGGCGGTGGACACCAGAAATGGGCTTCACACATTGTACCCATGTCGGGAATCTAACCCGGGTCTTCGGCGTGACGAGCGAACGCTTTAACCATTAGGCTACCCGACCGCCCCTCTCCCCTACAAATACTGAAATCTACTTGATTTGGAGTATATCGTTCACTACGATGACACTTGTTGGTTATGGATGGATTCTGGCCAATATATGGGTGGTAAGGCTGACAGCGTGTTATCGTACGATCTGTAAATATATCAATCACTGGTTCGTCCGAATCAAACTCAATTATTAACAGGACGCCGTCGGATAGCTGGAATATTACGGGTGCCAAGTTAAACAACAAAATGACAGCTCCCTTATCACAAGAACGCAGTCAGTGAAGAAGCAGGATAGAAAACTTAAGGAATTTAACAAATGCGCCATAACGAACACGCGCACTTGTTTGACCACCATTACATTGTGGAGTAGGGGGATTGGGTGAAGGGGTTTACTTCTCCCCGAACTCACTCTAGTTTTTAATTTGATTACACCAGGTACATTACGTGGAATACAACGCACTCAACTCGAGGAGCAAGTCTTTTTCTGCTTCACTGCAACACTTCAGAGAGCTTTTCGTGCGTTGCATTACTATCGTGACGTCATTGAAGACACCAAAAAAATATTACCTTCACACCACTTCAGTCCGTTCAAAGACATCTTCAAAAGAAATATATCTCTGTAGAACTCCGAATAAACATAGGGAATCTGAGACCAAGACAGTTGGATTAATATTTGGAGAGTTACAGTTGGTAGACATTGCTTTTAATGACTTAATTCAAAGTGAGCAATCATCTTCTGGACAACGTGGGAGGTCTGAAGTAAACAGGTTAGCTGACGCCAAAGTAAATTATCATGCCACATGAAATAATTGTGTACAACAGAACTAAACCACTACAGGCGTCTTGTTGAAACTGTATCAGGCGATGTGTTTGGCTCTTGGGGACTTAACAACACTTCTCCCACTTCCGACAATACGAGACATGGGCCTAAATGTGAACAAGTATGGGTCGATCCACGCAATTGGAATCGATGACATGCATCAACCAAGTCAGCGAGCCTGACCACCCGAGCCCGTTAGACGCCTTTTACGACAAGCATAGTCACCTTTTACGGCAAGCATGGGTTGCTGAAGACCTATTCTACACCGGAATCGTCACGGGTCGAACAAGTATGGGTGTCATATTTGAACTAATGCTGAAGCATATCACTGTCCTCCGGACCAGTGAAGATCCGGGGTAGAATAGATCTTCAGCAACCCATCCTTGCCGTAAAAGGCGACTATGCTTGTCGTAAGAGGCGACTAACGGGATCGGGTCAGGCTCGCTGAATTGGTTGATGCATGTCATCGTATCCAAATTGCGTGGATCGATGCTCATGATATTAATCACTGGATCGTCTGGTCTAGACTCGATTATTTACAGACGGCAGTCATATAGCTTGAATATTGCTGAGTGCGGCGTTAAACAACAAACCTACCAAACAACACTGTCCTCATGGAAACGGCCTTTTCGTGATCAGATCTGTAGATCTTGTGGGTTAGGGAATTATTCGGGTTGTGACGAATGTTCCTGGTAATAGTTAATGCAAAATTATGTGTTCTTGCATGCATACTGGGCATATGAACAATCAGCTGAGTGAAGACTCTTATTAAAGGAGTCTGTTTGTAGCGTTTTCTTTTTAAAGGTTAATAAAGAATGAACTACTTGCCTCATTCTAGAGTAGTGGACAGGGAAGGTCCAGTCATCTACGGCGCTGAAATTCGTTGTGCAGAGTTGCGTCCCATGGGAACGCCAGGAACCTATGATTGTGTTCGTATCGTGGTTCGCTCCGATTTGTTTCAAGGTTTGTCAGCACCATACTCCTGCTCATGGACTTCACAAAATCATTATCATCTGAAACGTGCATCACTTCGGGCTTTCCTCCCATATTAAACCGACAATGTAACTGGAATACTGTTCAAAGCGGCGTTAAACTCACTCACTCACTCATTCTCGGGTGAGTCGGGTTTTGCGCTGCTTTGAACAATATTTCAGTCACTACGTGCTCTTAATGACACGCAGGAAGCCTACACTAATGCAGGTCTTAGATGTTTACCACTTAACAGAAACTCAAAAACAAGCGCATGTTGCTGACAGACCAAGAATATTATCTTGGTGAACACGCCCATATCATTCTGGTTTGTATGAGGGACGTACAGCGAACTGAACACCGACTCGGCCACCCACTGCCGAAGAAAACAAGGTGCGTTTGTCATTTCGTCACCACACCTAGTCAGTGAGTGACTATGGAGGGTATATATTCCAGCAATATCAGGTGGGGGACACCGAAAATGGGCTTTACACATTGTACCCATGTGGGGAATCGAGCCCGGGGTCTTCGGCATGACGATCACCACACCTGGGGTGGTGGGGTTTGTTTGTTTCATGTTATTTAGGGGCGGTCGGGTAGCCGAAGACCCGGGTTCGATTCCCGACATGGGTACAATGTGTGAAGCCCATTTCTGGTGTCCTCCCCCATGATATTGCTGGAATAATGCTAAAAACGGCGTAAAACCATCCTCACTCACTCATGTTATTTAACGCAACACTCAGCAATATTCCAGCTATATGACTGCGGTCTGTAAATAATCGAGTCTGGACCAGTGATTGACATCATGGACATCGATCCACGCAATTGGGATACGATGACATGCAGCAACCAAGTCAGCGAGGCAGACCACCCGAGCCCGTTAGACGCCTCTTACGACAAGCATAGTCACCATTTACTGCGTGCATGGGTTTCTGAAGACTTATTCTACCCCGGATTTTCACGGGTCGGGTAGTGGGGTAGTGTATTGAGTCTGTATTGGTTTAAGTGTTCGCTCAAGACTAAGGCCTCATTCAATTCCCAAAATGGGTACAATATGTGATATACACCACACCCCTTTGATATTGCTGGAATATTGTTAAAACCTCGTTCACTCCCTCACTCTCATTCAGTCACACACAGGACACATAAAGGTTGCTTTGGCAGTTTTGAAATGTATGTCAATCCTTGTTTATTGTTTAACGCTGCACTCAGCAATATTCCAGCTAATAAATGGCAGCCTGTAAATAATCAAATCTGGAGTGACTGATAATATGATTGGTTTGATTTTATTTGTTTGTTGTTTAACGCTGCACTCGTCAATATTCCAGCTATATGACAGCGGTCTGTAAATAATCGAGTCTGGACCAGACAATCCAGTGATTGACATCATGGGCATCGATCCACGTAATTTGGATACGATGACATGCATCAACCAAGTCAGCGAGCAAGACCACCCGTTAGTCGCCTCTTATGAACAATGATCCACATCGTTGTGGTAGGGTGACACTAAGTCACAAGCCTGACCACCAGATCCATTTAGTTGCCTCTTACAATCAGCAAAGGTTGATAGGGACCAAATCTATCCCAGAATCCCCCACGGTTCTCAATCTCGTTGACTCGTATGACCAGCATTCTGTACCAGGTCCCCATGGTGAGCAAGTAACACCAGTGGCTAATTGTGTGAGTAGTAGGCCACATTTTGTTCTAACTTCTAACTGTGGATCTCCATCATAAACTCTGTTGCCGTTTTGGCCCTTCAATACTCATTTTGGTGACTCAGATATGATAACAAGGTGTATAAGCATCGGTACTTGGGGCCCTACTACATGGGATCTCAGGAGAAGTGTCTTGATTCTACCATGTGCCTTCACTGAACATACACTCAACTTCGTAACTGCATTGTTTGTTACATCGTTTGTCACTGTAGTGTCACTGTTCCCCATTTCTGACATTGTTCCTAGCAAAGTTCTTGTCCTGTTCGAGTATTTCCTCTGGTGTTGGAGGCAAACCTTTTGTCCTTGTTTAGCCCTTGTTAAAGTGAGTGAGTGAGTTTGATTTTACGCCACTTTTAGCAGTATTCCAGCAATATCACAGCGGGGACACCAGAAATCCTTGTTAAAGTATTTCCCCGTTTTTTGCAATGAAACCTTTTATCTTTGTATAGCACTTGTTAAAGTATTCCCCCTAATGTTGTTGCAATAAAACCTTTTCTCAATGTTTCTCCCTTCTTAAAATATTTCCCCTGTTGTGGTCGGAAGCAAAGTTATTGTCCTTGTTTAGCTTTTGTTCAAGTATTTCTCCTGATGTTGTTGCATGCAAACTTCTTGTCCTTGTTTAGCCCTTGTTTAATTATTTCCCCTGATGTTGTTGCTATAAAACCATTTGTCCTTGGTTATCTCTTGTCCAAGTATTTCCCCTGATGTCCCATGCAAAGTTCCTATCCTTGTTCGAGTCCTTGTTCCTGAGTTTCCCCTGATGTTGTCACAAGCAAAGTTCTTGTCCTTGTTGAGCCCTTGTTCAAGTATTTCCCCTGATGTCCCATGCAAAGTTCCTGTCCTTGTTCCTGAGTTTCCCCTGATATTGTTGCAGGCAAAGCTCTTGTCCTTGTTAACATTTCTGACATTTCTTCTTTCTTTCCAACTAAAAGACCTCATAGAAATACTTTATTCAAGTAAAACAAGTCAGTAAATATAACACATCTTAAAGATACAGATATCATGGTGTAGAATTGCAGCTGATAATTTTGGTAAAATAGAATTATATTAGGCAGACTAAAAGTGATGTCTTGAATGAAGATATATCCTAATCCAGCATCACCATACAAACATATCTGGGTTACAGACAGCAAATTTTTGTGATATGGGATTTACATCAATAGGCCATATTTGCTCCCTATGACAAGATATCTATCTGGGACGTCTTTCACTGAAATGATATAAGGGATATATCTATGACTCATTCAGACAATATGGATCTTGAGACGTCCATTAAGAAATGATTCCAGCAGACAGTGGACGACTCATTTAGAAATCATTCCAGGAGTCTGGAGATGTCTCAACCTGAAGTGATTCCAGGAGTCTGAAGACGCCATATCCAGAAGTGATTTCAGGAGTCTGGAGACGTCATATCCAGAAATGATTTCAGGAGTCTGGAGACATCATATCCAGAAATGATTTCAGGAGTCTGGAGACATCATATCCAGAAATGATTTCAGGAGTCTGGAGACATCATATCCAGAAATGATTTCAGGAGTCTGGAGACATCATATCCAGAAATGATTTCAGGAGTCTGGAGACATCATATCCAGAAATGATTTCTGGAGTCTGGAGACGTCATATCCAGAAATGATTTCAGGTGTCTGGAGACATCTCATTCAGAAAAGATTTCAGGAGACTGGAGACGTCTCATCCAGAAATGAAACAATCTAACTACATGTATTTAAGTCAGGTACTATCTCAAGTATTTCTCTTACAAATGTAATCATGCAAATAATCCATGGAACAGAATCTGTGGAGTTATAGTGAGCACCTTGTTTTTTTCAATTTATAGCTTGAACTGAATGTCAATCTATAATTACATTTTGCCAGGAAATTATTTCTGGATAGTCCTATAGTTCTGCTCCAATCAAGTTCCTACTTCGCCTTGGCTTTCTTGGAAGGTGAGCCCTGGTTTTCCTGTGACAAACAATACAACAGCAGTGTCAGTGTTTGGGAGCTACAGAGGCAGAAACACAATACAGGGATGAGGATGACTAAAGCCTGCTCTGGTTACTGTATGTTGAGCCTTAAGCATTTTTGGTTACACATAGGTTTCTCATAGCAGTTAGCAAATACCTACACCTACACTGCAACTGGAAGACAGGCCTGGGAGAACATTCTATCTCTCAGTTCTTGATACACTGAAGTTACAATATGATAATATCACAATACACAGATCTGAGGCCTCTAAACGACCCTTATCAAAACAATAAGAAACAATACCAGAGCTGTAGATATATGCATAAAATATGTATTTAATAAACTGGAATATGCAGACAAATAAAATCCCTAGCCTATCAAATATGCAACAAAAGCTATAAAAACGCTATGGAAATAAAACCAATGCATATCTTACAACTGTGAACGATTGCATACCTGTCGATCGCGAGCTCATTTACCGACAGTTGCATTTGGTAAAAAATATGTATACTACTATTTATTTGGTTTTAAATTATTTACAGGGATTGTTTCGAAACAGGTTTTCAAGTTGAAATACTTAAATTTAAAGGAACATGAGGTAAAAAATTGAATACCCATTAAAAATTGTGGATACCTAATAAGAATCAAATTCATGGGTAAAATACCCAAATAACCAAAAGCTATTCTAGAGCTCTGAATACCAAAGAATAATAATTTGAATCAAAACAGTTGCTATTAGAGGTTGTTTAGAGGCATTATTGGGATATGAGCAAGTCCTTGATCCACAATTATTTCATTGAGAGATCAACCCATGAAGATCCGGGGTAGAATAGGTCTTCAGCAACCCATGCTCGCCGTAAAAGGCGACTATGCTTGTCGTAAGAGGCGACTAACGGGATCAGGTCAGGCTCGCTGACTTGGTTGATGCATGTCATCGTGTCCCAATTGTGTGGATCGATGCTCATGATGTCAGTCACAGGATTGTCTGGTCCAGACTCGGTTATTTACAGACTGCAGTCATATAGCTGGAATATTGCTGAGTGAAGCATTTAACAACAACAAACAAACAAGTCATTGAGAGATCACATCAATGAGTTTGACATTCCTCTCTTTCAATGAATTGCTTCAGCCTAAAAGAGAAGTTCACATGTTTAGGGGAGAGCTACCTGCATGTGGTAATAGAATTCTCACAAACCTTTGTGGTGCTGATGTACTCGTCTATTGCTCCTTCAAGGAATGTGAGCGGGACAGGCCCACACTGAAGAACTGCTGCATGGTAGTCTCGCACATCAAACAGGTCACCTGAAACATGATATATGTCACCTGTGTCACCTGAAACATTGCATGTCAGTGGATCTGTCACCTCAAACTTTGGACATGTTACCTGAAAAATTGAATTTGTCACCTATGTCACCTGAGACATTGCACGTCACCCGAAACATTGGATATGACACCTCAAACATTGCACGTCACCCGAAACATTGGATATGGCACCTCAAACATTGCACGTCACCCGAAACATTGGATATGGCACCTCAAACATTGCACGTCACCCGAAACATTGGATATGGTACCTCAAACATTGCACGTCACCCGAAACATTGGATATGGTACCTCAAACATTACACGTCACCCGAAACATTGGATATGGCACCTCAAACATTGCACGTCACCCGAAACATTGGATATGTCATCTCAAACATTGCACATCACCCGAAACATTGGATATGGCACCTCAAACATTACACGTCACCCGAAACATTGGATATGGTACCTCAAACATTACACGTCACCCGAAACATTGGATATGGCACCTCAAACATTACACGTCACCCGAAACATTGGATATGGCACCTCAAACATTGCACGTCACCCGAAACATTGGATATGGTACCTCAAACATTGCACGTCACCCGAAACATTGGATATGGTACCTCAAACATTACACGTCACCCGAAACATTGGATATGTCATCGCAAACATTACACGTCACCCGAAAATTGGATTTGGCACCTCAAACATTACACGTCACCCTAAACATTGGATATGTCATCTCAAACATTGGATATGTCACCTCAAACATACCACCTATGTCACTGAAACATTGAACATGTCACCTGACACTGGACATGTGAAGCATTTGCAATACCTTCTGAATCATGTTACCTGAAACACTGAGTGAGTGAGTGAGTGAGTGAGTGAGTGAGTGAGTGAGTGAGTGAGTGAGTGAGTGAGTGAGTGAGTGAGTGAGTGAGTGAGTGAGTGAGTGAGTGAGTGAATGTGGTTTTACACTGTTTTTAATCATATTTCAGCAATATCAAGGCAGGGAACACCCAGTAATTGGCTTCACACATTGGACCCATGTGGGGGAATCGAACCCAGGTCTTTGGAAGGAAGGAAAGGACCACGAAGATCATGCCCACCAACTCTTGAGTTTTTGGCTTGAGATTCATTTTTCTAGTCAATGTTTGCTCTTTCAATCAAAACAAGAGTTTGCCACTAACGTGGCTATATCCTCCGCCCCTGTTGCAGAATTTATGACATAATTAAATCTAAACAAACCCTAACCTTTCTTAACTGAGGTGGAACTTGTCATGGAAATTGTAAAAAAAAGAAGAGTTTGGAACCTAAGTCCATCTTGTTGTCATGGAAACGTTAAAAATAAAAAATTCAAAAATTTCTAAATAGCAAAAGGCACCAGTTCAGCATGTACTGGACAGACCTTCAAAGTTTGATGAATGCTCCGGAAACGAAACCTGACAGACGGACGGAGCCCGTTTCTATATCATAATTACACATTACATTACAGATTTAGGTTTTTCTTAAATATCCACTTTCATGTCTGAAAATGACATATGTTGGCTGAAGGGGGCATCACTTCTCAATCTTTCAGTCTATGAAGGGTTGGAAGTTCTGTATTATGTTGATAACAACTAAACAAACTAGACACAGAAGCAGACCCAACCCAAGTTTTTCCTAAATGGCAAGAAACACTGTGCCAGCAGAAACAACACTGTATCTTTTGGACTGTACCAAGTCAGGTGACAGCTGAATTACCTCAACAGCATCTATAATCCTTAATGTTGTAGGGCAGAAACGCTGTGGCGAGAGGCAAGAGGGCACTGTGATTGTTATGCTGTTTAAGTCAACCAAGAGATACTGGAGAATCTGAGTAAGCTGGTTGTTCATCAGTTTCCGTTATCATTCACATGTGTCACACCAATATAACCTGTAATATAATGTATGGTATGTATCACGATACAGGGGTTGTACGTCGATCTATTGTATCGTGCGCCTCGAATCAGGATAACTGTATCACAATATAGTTCCACCACTAGCCATGATAGGGCTGGAATATTACTGAAAGCTGCGTGCAAACTGACTCACTCTTATCCTCGGAGAGGACTGCAGTTGGTAGATTTTATGTAGCTTCAGTTACTTACCAAGCTCCTTTTCTGCCTTGTGACGAAGTTCCCACAATTTCAGTTCCCCAATCTTGTAGGCACAAGCCTGCATAAAACACACCCATCATGACAATATTAAAACCAATTTCACATCTTGTAGGCACAAGCCTGCATTAGATACACTCATCATGACAATATTAAAACCAATTTCACATCTTGTAGGCACAAGCCTGCATTAGATACACCAATCATGACAATATTAAAACCAATTTCACAATATCTGAATAAGCATGCAATTGGAGGCTTTAAGTATCTTTTATAAGTTTTCTCAATGATATTATGGCGTGTTCAACACTCTCATTAAGTTACTTCTATTGTAGGACCCTCATGAAGATGCTTGAGAAAAGAAAATCCCCAGTATCCCATGCTTGTTTTAAGAGCCAAGGATTGAGGGTCAAGCTTGGTAATTTGGCAGGTTGTGGGTAATTGTGACCTGAAAAAAACTGATCATTGCTCGTGTTTTCTGTCGCCGTCCAGACTCAAGTAACTGAAGGCTGGCATATTGTAGCCCACATTTCGCTGACTGTGTAATGTCATCACTGACTCAATTAAATGTTTCTATTCTTAAAAGATATAAGTTGACCTTGTTCACTCAACAAGAAAGGCATCTTCCCGAGGCAAGAGAGTTAACTGATTATAAAAGTCCAGTTTCCACCCTTGCCGAACTGGGCTCTATCGTAGCGCTACCACTGGCTATTACCAGATATGTCCCTTCTAAGCCTCTCCTATGGACCAATCAGATTCCATCTCTCGTATCACTTGCGTTTGCTTCACACAAAATGGTGGCGCCCAGTCAAAACAATCTGATTGATAATCAAGATCTATATTGTGATAAAACGGGGCTTACATCGCGAAATGCATCAAATCACATGAGCACCTTGATTAAAAACATGAAAAGATTTGGAAAATATTTGCTGACAATGAGTTGGCGGTGCACATGCTTTGCAAATCCTGCAATCGACCGAAATCTGCACGACATTTTACAAACCAGATTTGGATTTCGGTGCGTGATTTTGATTGGACTATGCATAGACTCGTTAGTCCAGTCAAAATGTAACTCCATAATACAAGCCTAGTTCGGCAAGGGTGGAAACTGGACTTTTATAGTCAGTTAACTCTCTTGCCTCAGGAAGATGCAAGAAACGTAGTAGGTATCCGGGTTAGAAGAGGCTCCATAACCCTATCCTGGTCGTAAGATGAATTCGGGTTGGGTAGCCAGGCCCAGTGACTTGGTGGCCAGCCCGGTGACTTGGTGGCCAGCCCGGTGACTTGGTAGCCAGGCCCGGTGACTTGGTAGCCAGGCCCAGTGACTTGGTAGCCAGGCCCGGTGACTTGGTAGCCAGGCCCAGTGACTTGGTAGCCAGGCCCGGTGACTTGGTAGCCAGGCCCAGTGACTTGGTAGCCAGGCCCGGTGACTTGGTAGCCAGGCCCAGTGACTTGGTAGCCAGGCCCGGTGACTTGGTAGCCAGGCCCAGTGACTTGGTAGCCAGGCCCAGTGACTTGCTGGCCAGGCAGAATGCCTTTGTGGCTAGGCCCGGTGACTTGGTGGCCAGCCCGGTGACTTGCTGGCCAGGCAGAATGCCTTTGTGGCTAGGCCCGGTGACTTGGTGGCCAGGCCTGGTGACTTGGTGGCCAAACCTGGTGGATTATTTATAGACTACTATCACATAGCCGGAATATTGCTGAGTGTGGCGTTAAACAACAAGCAAGGCTAATGTCCCTATACAGCTTGACGTACCTGACCAGGCATGGTGATGTACCTGTTGACCTCATTCCTCATTGACCACTCATCGGTCAGCGTACTGTCCACGAGGTACTCCACGGCCTTAGCCTGGGTCCACCTGGAGTTAACACAGCGCTGGTCATTTTTTAAAAGGTTCAATATCTTGTTACCTCATACAATATTTGTGACCATGAGATAAGGGACCTTATGGGTGAAAAATCACGTTTTGACCTTTCATTATATTTTATAACTACAGACTCTTCAGAAAACAAAAATATATTTCACAGGCTTCAATTCGTATTTATTACAGAGATACATGACATCACACATATGGATCTTCACTGAAGTAAGTTGAAGTCAAACATCTTTATGACGTCTTAGCACAATTGTATCCAAGCACCCATAAGATCCATTTTCTCCTGTTGGGTCATATTTGTTATCAGATAGATCAGTCCATCCTATTTGGCATGTTACATGTATTTTCTTGATCAGCAAGTATTATCACAAGTACGACCTCATTACTCCAGTACTCAACAGCTTGCACTGGATTCCTGTGTATTCTGTTCATTTTCAAAATTCCCTGCCTAAAAAATTACCTACAGGTGTTTGCTAGTAGATGCTCCACACCACCACGTTATCTACTAGACCTACACACCAGCATGCACACCCAGGTCTGAATCTCCCCATCTCCTCTGTGTTCCACATGTAAAGACTATCAGCTATGGCCATAGCTCCTTTCCCTTTGCTGCTGCAACTGAGTGGAACAGTCTCCCACTCGAACTTAGAGTTTTTCCAACTTTCCAGATCTTTAAGCAACGATTAAAGACTTACCTTTTCATGATCGCCTTTACTGACTGACTATGTCTTTTCTTGTGTGCTTATATCATGTAAAACCCATTACAAGTGGATTATTATTATTATCATTATTATTATTATTAGTAGTAGTAGTTGTATTATTATTATTATTATTATTATTATTATTACCCCATGGAGTGCAGTCCTGTGTCTACAACAAGTCTAGCTGCTCGCAACATCTCAAAGCTGTAGCGTCCAAACCTGTAAAATAGAGGCACTTTACAGTTAGATGAAGCTACTGATAGTGTGTCTCTATAAATACTCCAGGGCTCCAGACAGTTATTCAAACATTCATTATCCTTATGTGAACACTGGAACACCAGTGGAAAGGAAAGACTCATTCAAACCCACAACCAGTACGTCCTGACACAGCTTAGGGACACAACTCTTTACATCAAGACAAATGACTTGAACACCCATGTTACATCAGTATAAAAACAGTTACACATTTTAACAAAGGAAAGACTTAATTCAAACCCACAACCAGTACATCCTGGCACAGCTAAGGGACACAACTCTTTACATCAAGACATATGACTGGAACACCCATGTTACATCAGTATCAAGAGAACAGCGTTAACACTACCCCCCACCAGTGGGCACATTAGAATTTGTTTGTTCATATAGCAGTGAAGATAAACTATAATAAAGAGTCCTATAAAGCCTTAAAAACAGATAGGCACTTTGGCCGCTTTATGTCATCAGAAAAAATTATTAAATGTGAAATTAATACACAGTCTTGAAAAGTATCTCTTCGAAACGTTAACTTCAGTTGTTTCTGAGAAAACTTGTCCCCATTGCACACTCTATGCGCCAAGTAAAATATCATGGATCAAGGGCTGTTACACTGTAAAAAAATATTTTACGGGACCAATTTTTGAACTTGTCAAGTATCTTTCATTCATGCAACAACAGTAGTTTCTAAGAAAATTTGTCCCCATTGCACACACCTGCACTAAATGAGATAACATGGATCAAGTGCCGCACTTGTTAAAAAAAAAATATGGGATAAATTTCAAACTCAGTCTTGACAAGTATCACTGAGATAAGCATGCAAGCTTTCATTCATGTAACTATCCCTCGCCCCACTTCGTGGCGGTGGATAAGAAAGACAATCAACCACTCTAATAAAGGAAAGATTTAATTCAAACCCACAACCTGTACATCCTGGCACAGCTAAGGGACACAACTCTTTACATCAAGACTGATGACTGGAACAATAAAGGAAAGACTTATTTAATGAGACAGTAATAGTAGATTCTATGTACTTACATGGAGTAGTTGTCTGTGTACATTCCTAGTTCCAGGCCCAATGCCTCTGAGTACAGGCCCCAACCCTGTATATCAAGACAGAACATAAGGAAAAATCTTTACGTTTTATCACTTCTATAAAAACTCCAAAAAACATCCTCACGAAAATCAATTCGAAGTAAGAAAAAATTTCTTCCAAAATTGTTTGGTGAAGTACCAGAACAACTTGCTGGATGAGTGAGTGAGTGAGTGAGTTTGGTTTTATGCCGCTTTTAGCAATATTCCAGCAATACCCCGGCAGGTAACATCAGAAATGGGCTTCATACATTGCTGCCATGTTGGGAATTGAACCCAGATCTTCAGTGAGACGAGTGAACGCTGTAACCACTAGGCCACCCGACCGCTGGACGATTAATATTTTGTAAGCAAGGCCAGATGAATTTACGAACTTGTTTTTAATTTTTGCTTATCATACAAAAATCTGCAATTAATAACTTTTTATCTAAAAGTTTACAGTTACAACAATATTTTGACTTTGACTATGTCTGTTTTCTCACAGTTCCTCCAGCAGGATTTCACCTGCAACAATAGTATAACAAAAATGAACCCTAAGACAGTGGGGGTGTATTCCATACTAGAAAACTATAGAGAGCACCAATGGCGGTAGGTCATCCTTGCAGTCCTCATACTGTACTCTACATACTGTCTGACTCAAGGACCACTAACCTCAATGTATGCTGTGTGCATAGGGAACCTCCCTGGTGCTAGGTAGTACTTTCTGTCCTCTATACACTGTCCTCTATATACAGCCTGACACAAGGACCACTAACCTCAATGTATGCTGTGTGCATAGGGAACCTTCCTGGTGCTAGGTAGTACTTTCTGTCCTCTATACACTGTCCTCTATATACAGCCTGACTCAAGGACCACTAACCTCAATGTATGCTGTGTGCATAGGGAACCTCCCTGGTGCTAGGTAGTACTTGCTGTCCTCTATATACTGTCTGACTCAAGGACTACTAACCTCAATGTATGCTGTGTGCATAGGGAACCTCCCTGGTGCTAGGTAGTACTTGCTGTCCTCTATATACAGCCTGACACAAGGACCACTAACCTCAATGTATGCTGTGTGCATAGGGAACCTTCCTGGTGCTAGGTAGTACTTGCTGTACTCTATATACTGTCTGACACAAGAACTACTAACCTCAATGTATGCTGTGTGCATAGGGAACCTCCCTGGTGCTAGGTAGTACTTGCTGTCCTCTATATACTGTCTGACACAAGAACTACTAACCTCAATGTATGCTGTGTGCATAGGGAACCTTCCTGGTGCTAGGTAGTACTTGCTGTACTCTATATACTGTCTGACACAAGAACTACTAACCTCAATGTATGCTGTGTGCATAGGGAACCTCCCTGGTGCTAGGTAGTACTTGCTGTCCTCTATATACTGTCTGACACAAGAACTACTAACCTCAATGTATGCTGTGTGCATAGGGAACCTCCCTGGTGCTAGGTAGTACTTGCTGTCCTCTATATACTGTCTGACTCAAGGACCACTAACCTCAATGTATGCTGTGTGCATAGGGAACCTTCCTGGTGCTAGGTAGTACTTGCTGTCCTCTATATACTGTCTGACACAAGAACTACTAACCTCAATGTATGCTGTGTGCATAGGGAACCTTCCTGGTGCTAGGTAGTACTTGCTGTACTCTATATACTGTCTGACACAAGAACTACTAACCTCAATGTATGCTGTGTGCATAGGGAACCTCCCTGGTGCTAGGTAGTACTTGCTGTCCTCTATATACTGTCTGACTCAAGGACCACTAACCTCAATGTATGCTGTGTGCATAGGGAACCTTCCTGGTGCTAGGTAGTACTTGCTGTCCTCTATATACTGTCTGACACAAGAACTACTAACCTCAATGTACGCTGTGTGCATAGGGAACCTCCCTGGTGCTAGGTAGTACTTGCTGTACTCTATATACTGTCTGACACAAGAACTACTAACCTCAATGTATGCTGTGTGCATAGGGAACCTCCATGGTGCTAGGTAGTACTTGCTGTCCTCTACATACTGTCTGACTCAAGGACCACTAACCTCAATGTATGCTGTGTGCATAGGGAACCTCCCTGGTGCTAGGTAGTACTTACTGTCCTCTACATACTGTCTGACACAAGGACCACTAACCTCAATGTATTCTGTGTGCATAGGGAACCTCCCTGGTGCTAGGTAGTACTTGCTGTCCTCTATATACTGTCTGACTCAAGGACCACTAACCTCAATGTATGCTGTGTGCATAGGGAACCTCCCTGGTGCTAGGTAGTACTTGCTGTCCTCTATATACTGTGTGACACAACGACCACTAACCTCAATGTACGCTGTGTGCATGGGGAACCTCCCTGGTGCTAGGTAGTACTTTCTGTCCTCTATACACTGTCCTCTATATACAGCCTGACTCAAGGACCACTAACCTCAATGTATGCTGTGTGCATAGGGAACCTCCCTAGTGCTAGGTAGTACTTGCTGTCCTCTATATACTGTCTGACACAAGAACTACTAACCTCAATGTATGCTGTGTGCATAGGGAACCTCCCTGGTGCTAGGTAGTACTTGCTGTCCTCTATATACTGTCTGACACAAGAACTACTAACCTCAATGTATGCTGTGTGCATAGGGAACCTTCCTGGTGCTAGGTAGTACTTGCTGTACTCTATATACTGTCTGACACAAGAACTACTAACCTCAATGTATGCTGTGTGCATAGGGAACCTCCCTGGTGCTAGGTAGTACTTGCTGTCCTCTATATACTGTCTGACTCAAGGACCACTAACCTCAATGTATGCTGTGTGCATAGGGAACCTTCCTGGTGCTAGGTAGTACTTGCTGTCCTCTATATACTGTCTGACACAAGAACTACTAACCTCAATGTACGCTGTGTGCATAGGGAACCTCCCTGGTGCTAGGTAGTACTTGCTGTACTCTATATACTGTCTGACACAAGAACTACTAACCTCAATGTATGCTGTGTGCATAGGGAACCTCCATGGTGCTAGGTAGTACTTGCTGTCCTCTACATACTGTCTGACTCAAGGACCACTAACCTCAATGTATGCTGTGTGCATAGGGAACCTCCCTGGTGCTAGGTAGTACTTGCTGTCCTCTATATACTGTGTGACACAACGACCACTAACCTCAATGTACGCTGTGTGCATGGGGAACCTCCCTGGTGCTAGGTAGTACTTTCTGTCCTCTATACACTGTCCTCTATATACAGCCTGACTCAAGGACCACTAACCTCAATGTATGCTGTGTGCATAGGGAACCTCCCTAGTGCTAGGTAGTACTTGCTGTCCTCTATATACTGTCTGACACAAGAACTACTAACCTCAATGTATGCTGTGTGCATAGGGAACCTCCCTGGTGCTAGGTAGTACTTGCTGTCCTCTATATACTGTCTGACACAAGAACTACTAACCTCAATGTATGCTGTGTGCATAGGGAACCTTCCTGGTGCTAGGTAGTACTTGCTGTACTCTATATACTGTCTGACACAAGAACTACTAACCTCAATGTATGCTGTGTGCATAGGGAACCTCCCTGGTGCTAGGTAGTACTTGCTGTCCTCTATATACTGTCTGACTCAAGGACCACTAACCTCAATGTATGCTGTGTGCATAGGGAACCTTCCTGGTGCTAGGTAGTACTTGCTGTCCTCTATATACTGTCTGACACAAGAACTACTAACCTCAATGTACGCTGTGTGCATAGGGAACCTCCCTGGTGCTAGGTAGTACTTGCTGTACTCTATATACTGTCTGACACAAGAACTACTAACCTCAATGTATGCTGTGTGCATAGGGAACCTCCATGGTGCTAGGTAGTACTTGCTGTCCTCTACATACTGTCTGACTCAAGGACCACTAACCTCAATGTATGCTGTGTGCATAGGGAACCTCCCTGGTGCTAGGTAGTACTTGCTGTCCTCTATATACTGTGTGACACAACGACCACTAACCTCAATGTACGCTGTGTGCATGGGGAACCTCCCTGGTGCTAGGTAGTACTTTCTGTCCTCTATACACTGTCCTCTATATACAGCCTGACTCAAGGACCACTAACCTCAATGTATGCTGTGTGCATAGGGAACCTCCCTAGTGCTAGGTAGTACTTGCTGTCCTCTATATACTGTCTGACACAAGAACTACTAACCTCAATGTATGCTGTGTGCATAGGGAACCTCCCTGGTGCTAGGTAGTACTTGCTGTCCTCTATATACTGTCTGACACAAGAACTACTAACCTCAATGTATGCTGTGTGCATAGGGAACCTCCCTGGTGCTAGGTAGTACTTGCTGTCCTCTATATACTGTCTGACTCAAGGACCACTAACCTCAATGTATGCTGTGTGCATAGGGAACCTCCCTGGTGCTAGGTAGTACTTGCTGTCCTCTATATACTGTCTGACACAAGAACTACTAACCTCAATGTATGCTGTGTGCATAGGGAACCTCCCTGGTGCTAGGTAGTACTTGCTGTCCTCTATATACTGTCTGACTCAAGGACCACTAACCTCAATGTATGCTGTGTGCATAGGGAACCTCCCTAGTGCTAGGTAGTACTTGCTGTCCTCTATATACTGTCTGACACAAGAACTACTAACCTCAATGTATGCTGTGTGCATAGGGAACCTCCCTGGTGCTAGGTAGTACTTGCTGTCCTCTATATACTGTCTGACACAAGAACTACTAACCTCAATGTATGCTGTGTGCATAGGGAACCTCCCTGGTGCTAGGTAGTACTTGCTGTACTCTATATACTGTCTGACACAAGAACTACTAACCTCAATGTATGCTGTGTGCATAGGGAACCTCCCTGGTGCTAGGTAGTACTTGCTGTCCTCTATATACTGTCTGACACAAGAACTACTAACCTCAATGTATGCTGTGTGCATAGGGAACCTCCCTGGTGCTAGGTAGTACTTGCTGTCCTCTATATACTGTCTGACTCAAGGACCACTAACCTCAATGTATGCTGTGTGCATAGGGAACCTCCCTGGTGCTAGGTAGTACTTGCTGTCCTCTATATACTGTCTGACTCAAGGACCACTAACCTCAATGTATGCTGTGTGCATAGGGAACCTCCCTGGTGCTAGGTAGTACTTGCTGTCCTCTATATACAGCCTGACACAAGGACCACTAACCTCAATGTATGCTGTGTGCATAGGGAACCTCCCTGGTGCTAGGTAGTACTTGCTGTCCTCTATATACAGCCTGACACAAGGACCACTAACCTCAATGTATGCTGTGTGCATAGGAACCTCCCTAGTGCTAGGTAGTACTTGCAGTACTCTATATACTGTCTTACTCAAGGACCACTAACCTCAATGTATGCTGTGTGCATAGGAACCTCCCTGGTGCTAGGTAGTACTTGCAGTACTCTATATACTGTCTTACTCAAGGACCACTAACCTCAATGTATGCTGTGTGCATAGGGTACCTCCCTGGTGCTAGGTAGTACTTGCTGTCCTCTATATACTGTGTGACACAACGACCACTAACCTCAATGTACGCTGTGTGCATAGGGAACCTCCCTGGTGCTAGGTAGTACTTGCTGTCCTCTATATACTGTCGGAATAGGGGGACAGCTGTGGCCACAGAAAGGCTATGCTGCAAAAAGGATTCATATGAAAGGCAAGCATAGATGCAGTTGATTAACTGACCCCCATTAACGATGTTAACAAAATATATATACATAAGACGACAATCAAATAACGAAAATAATTTTCAGCCTCATGCGAAGAAAGTTTTTAGAATAATTCTGGCAGCAGCCTCAAATTTTGTCTCTAAGTTCCACATGTTTCAAAGGATATGAACACAAGAACAAAACAATACATTATCAAAGGCAGACACCATCTCTGCATTAGGTTGATACGTATGAGTGCCACATTGTGCAAAAAAATGTTTGAAAGATTCTGGGAGTGAGTGCGTTAGGTTCAATTTTTTTGAACAGAATTCAAGTTATATCACAGCATGTCAGTTTAATGTGTGAGGAGAGCCGAAGTGATGCAGGTCTCAGATATTTACCACTTTGGTGAAACCCATGAGCATGGGTATGGTGCTGACAAATCTAGAAACATAATCGGGGAAAACCAGGATTCGAATCCATGATCATAGATTTCTGGTGCGCCCAAGGGACACACTCTGCACAGCGAGTTGCGTCACCTTAGACTGGGCCACCTGTTCCCCCTCAAAGACTTTGAGTTACGTTGAGTTGTGTTTAAAATACATAACAACAGGTCATGTGAGTCATGCGAATCAAAATACTCCCTGGCATATAAAGCTTAGGGTAGACAAACCCTATTAATTAAGCATGTCATAAGGCTACTTAGCCACACATCTTTTTACTTTACAGATCCGCAGACTGTAAATTTTGTTAAAAAATGGAAATAATAATAATCAGAATTTGCTCTTTTTCTATCCAGTCGTTAAGCTGATAGCATATTGCCCCCAAAATATATTATCAAAACAAGGACCCACTAAAGTTGGAATTTCTTAAACATTGAGTTAAAATAAAGTTTGTTGTTCCTGAAATTGATAGGGTGCATAGATGCACAACAGTATTACTGTTTGATGTATCAGGCTTGCGTTGTTTAAAGCAACAGCTGTGTTGCAGGCTCTCCCACAAGAAACAATCTTTATTTTTTTATTCCAGCATGGATTTGTCCTGTTGCCATAGTAACAGTATACGAGGAAACAGTCACAAAGCATGGCATTAGATAATCAACTTTGGTTTCTTTATGTCAACATAACTGTCACTTTGAAAACAAAAACAGATTCTTTGTCAGAAAAAAAAAGATACAGAATACAAATGTATGTTTTACATAGAAGAATTTTGGAAGCCGGGCCTAACTCTCTTCCAGGCGTATATCACAAACAGAGAAACACTGTACACAGTGTGGATGAAGCTTAGTTACCTGCAGGTGATGCCCTGGTTCCCCCTCATGAAGACTCAGCGCCATGAACTCGTACTTTTTACTGGAAACACAAAAATTAAACTTGTGTATCAGGAGTGTTCCTGTTTACCGTATTGACCAGTTTTTACCGGTAAAATTAGGCTTGAACCAGTTACTCATGTGACTGCCAGTCATTGTGGACTGGCAAAAAAAGTATCTTGTAAATCTTCTTTTGTTAAACATTACATCGTTGATAACTGATCTTCGTCCAAAAAAGGTTGAAGGTCACACTCAACAATATACCAGCTATGATAATCGAGTCTGGAGTGAGTGAGTGAGTGACTATGGTTTGCCGCTTTAAGCAATATTCCAGCAACATCAAGGTGGGGGACACCAGAAATGGGAATCGAGTCTGGATCTAACACAATCGTGATTAATATTATGAGCAACGCCTGGTTCCGTCAGGGTACGATGATAAGCAATCAGCCAAGTCACTGACCAGTCCAAATTCTAAATATAACACTTTCATATTTTGGTAAATAAATTGCTTACCAAGAGTCCAGGTTATTGGCATTGATGGAGTAGATGCCGGGCCTCGTCTTGTCCGCTGTCCCTGCACTGTAGAACCCCGCTGGGGCGTTGGCCTGGGAAGCTGGGGTGTGCTTCAACCTGCAGGAGACACAACATGATAGGATCTGCTGTCACAACTCTAGGGTAGGGAGGTCATTATGTTTTTGTTCGTTTGTTTGTTGTTTAATGCTGCTCTCAGCAATATTCCAGCTATATGACGGCGGTCTGTAAATAATGAAGTCTGGACCAGACAATCCAGTGATTGATGTCATGAGCATCGATCCACGCAATTGGGATACGAAGACATGCATCAACCAAGTCAGCGAGCCTGACCACCCGATCCCGTTAGTCGCCTCTTACAACAAGCATAGTCGCCTTTTACGGCAAGCATGGGTTGCTGACCCCGGATCTTCACGGGTCAGGTCATTATGTAAACACCAAGAGTAAACAAAAGTTTTGGTACGCTGAAATTTATCTTAAAGGTCCTTAATTTCACATTGTTTTGCAAAGGAGGATCTTCAGGAGGATCTGTGTATTACCACACGCAGGCGCCATGGAGATTGTGGAACCACCTGCTATACTTACACGAGAGGTATGTCAGGGAGAGTGTGGAATATCCTGCTATACTTACACGAGAGGTATGTCAGGGAGTGTGTGGAATATCCTGCTATACTTACACGAGAGGTATGTCAGGGAGGGTGTGGAATATCCTGCTATACTTACACGAGAGGTATGTCAGGGAGAGTGTGTAGAATATCCTGCTATACTTACACTAGAGGTATGTCAGGGAGAGTGTGGAATATCCTGCTATACTTACACTAGAGGTATGTCAGGGAGAGTGTGGAATATCCTGCTATACTTACACTAGAGGTATGTCAGGGAGAGTGTGGAATATCCTGCTATACTTACATGAGAGGTATGTCAGGGAGAGTGTGGAATATCCTGCTATACTTACACTAGAGGTATGTCAGGGAGAGTGTGGAATATCCTGCTATACTTACACTAGAGGTATGTCAGGGAGAGTGTGGAATATCCTTCTATACTTACATGTGAGGTATGTCAGGCAGAGTGTGGAATATCCTGCTATACTTACACTAGAGGTATGTCAGGGAGAGTGTGGAATATCCTGCTATACTTACATGAGAGGTATGTAAGGGAGAGTGTGGAATATCCTGCTGTACTTACACTAGAGGTATGTTAGGGAGAGTGTGGAATATCCAGCTATACTTACACTAGAGGTATGTTAGGGAGAGTGTGGAATATCCTGCTATACTTACATGAGAGGTATGTCAGGGAGAGTGTGGAATATCCTGCTGTACTTACACTAGAGGTATGTAAGGGAGAGTGTGGAATATCCTGCTGTACTTACACTAGAGGTATGTTAGGGAGAGTGTGGAATATCCTGCTATACTTACACGAGAGGTATGTTAGGGAGAGTGTGGAATATCCTGCTATACTTACACGAGAGGTATGTCAGGGAGAGTGTGGAATATCCTGCTGTACTTACACTAGAGGTATGTTAGGGAGAGTGTGGAATATCCTGCTGTACTTACACAAGAGGTATGTCAGGGAGAGTGTGGAATATCCTGCTATACTTACACTAGAGGTATGTCAGGGAGAGTGTGGAATATCCTGCTATACTTACATGAGAGGTATGTCAGGGAGAGTGTGGAATATCCTGCTGTACTTACACTAGAGGTATGTCAGGGAGAGTGTGGAATATCCTGCTATAATTACACGAGAGGTATGTCAGGGAGAGTGTGGAATATCCTGCTGTACTTACACTAGAGGTATGTTAGGAAGAGAGTGTAGAATATCCTGCTATACTTACACGAGAGGTATGTAAGGGAGAGTGTGGAATATCCTGCTGTACTTACACTAGAGGTATGTCAGGGAGAGTGTGGAATATCCTGCTATACTTACACTAGAGGTATGTCAGGGAGAGTGTGGAATATCCTGCTATACTTACACGAGAGGTATGTCAGGGAGAGTGTGGTATATCCTGCTATACTTACACTAGAGGTATGTCAGGGAGAGTGTGGAATATCCTGCTATAATTACACGAGAGGTATGTCAGGGAGAGTGTGGAATATCCTGCTGTACTTACACTAGAGGTATGTTAGGAAGAGAGTGTAGAATATCCTGCTATACTTACACGAGAGGTATGTAAGGGAGAGTGTGGAATATCCTGCTATACTTACACGAGAGGTATGTCAGGGAGAGTGTGGAATATCCTGCTATACTTACACTAGAGGTATGTCAGGGAGGGTGTGGAATATCCTGCTATACTTACACGAGAGGTATGTAAGGGAGAGTGTGGAATATCCTGCTGTACTTACACTAGAGGTATGTTAGGGAGAGTGTGGAATATCCTTCTATACTTACACGAGAGGTATGTAAGGGAGAGTGTGGAATATCCTGCTATACTTACACTAGAGGTATGTCAGGGAGAGTGTTGAATATCCTGCTATACTTACACTAGAGGTATGTCAGGGAGGGTGTGGAATATCCTGCTATACTTACACGAGAGGTATGTAAGGGAGAGTGTGGAATATCCTGCTGTACTTACACTAGAGGTATGTTAGGGAGAGTGTGGAATATCCTGCTGTACTTACACTAGAGGTATGTCAGGGAGAGTGTGGAATATCCTGCTATAATTACACGAGAGGTATGTCAGGGAGGGTGTGGAATATCCTTCTATACTTACACGAGAGGTATGTAAGGGAGAGTGTGGAATATCCTGCTATACTTACACTAGAGGTATGTCAGGGAGAGTGTTGAATATCCTGCTATACTTACACTAGAGGTATGTCAGGGAGGGTGTGAAATATCCTGCTATACTTACACGTGAGGTATGTCAGGGAGGGTGTGGAATATCCTGCTATACTTACACTAGAGGTATGTCAGGGAGGGTGTGGAATATCCTGCTATACTTACACGAGAGGTATGTCAGGGAGGGTGTGAAACACTGAATGGAGTTTTGGTCGGATCTGGTTGAAGCAGATGTCCTTGACATAGTCCATCACTTCATCCTGAATATCAGTACAGACAAGACACATTTAGGTACCCAATATTCCGATATACAACAAGGACTAAGAAATACTGGCTATTTGTACAAAAGTGGAATGAAGAGTCACCATGACAACTGGTTCAGCATGATTAGATGTCATGCAGGAAGAAACATATCTCATTAAGTGTTAAAAATTCAAGGCTACCATTGTGTTTTACGAATCTCATATATATAGGAAGGCGAGGAAGATAGAGTCTACTGTGATGTTATCATTGTGCACAAATGATTATAAACCCTAGTGAATGCACCCAGGAGATTGCAGACACATCGAAGATTCATCAGTATGAAATCAGAAATTAATGCAGTTCCTTGTCCAGATCCATGAAAGGATTTTCATAAAAGCAAGAAAAAGATGGCATCATCCTAAATATGTGGAGAATTTTTGGCTTTTCTTGTCAAATATAATGTTTATCTCATCGAGTGACCTGACAAATTTAAATATCAACAAGATGAAATGAACATGTTATTTGACAAGAGAATCCAAATGTTCTATGATCTTGTATTTTCTCACTGATATTACACACGTCTTAGTCTGAAAACCATGGTGTTCATCATGCAGACTAAACACGCTGGAACTTGTTCCAGCTAAATGTGTTATATCAAGTGATCAGGTGAAGTACAGATTCTTTTACAGAAAAATATGGAATTGCATTTCCAATTAAATAATAAAATTAATTTTTAACGAAATGCAATGCCAATTGTAGAGCACATGTTAAATTCATAATTTGATAACTGTTAAATTTATCACCTTTGAATCAAAGCTGAATTCCTTGCTTGTATGTAATTTCTTCTGGAATGCTTTCAGATCTTGTCCAAAACCTTCTTTTGCTGATATTTCCAGCATTTGTTTGCGTATTCTAGCAACCTCCTTGAGACCAAGATCATGCACTTCCTGTGGTGACATGTCACAAGACAGGTGGAAGTTGAGGCACATCTGGTAGTAGGATGCACCATTCTTCAGTGTACACACCCCCTCCGCTGGCCGCAGGTGATGCATGTACTCCTGCAACGTAACACCTCTAAAATGAGGGTTCAAGGTACCACAATTCACTATTCAGAGGGGCAGTCGGGTAGCCTTGTGATTAAAGCGTTCACTCATCACGCTGAAGACCCGGGTTCAATTTCCAACATGGGTACAATGTGTGAAGCCCATTTCTGGTGTCCCCCGCCATGATATTGCTGGAATATTGCTACTCACTCACTTCACTATTCAGAATAATATCTCTTAGGCGTGCCAGAACTCTACACTGCTCTAAAACGGTTAAGCACTACCCCAGTGATCAAATTAAGGACCTCCCTGTAGGTCTGTGGCAGGTAGATCTCATATCGGGGCGGACTTTCATATTTGTATGGGTCCTTAAGGCCTGCAGTAAACTTACATGTTCATTGATTTGTCACAATAAGCTGCAGTTTTTTAAATGAGTTCCTGAAGAGTTTAGTCAGGGCCTGCAGCTTCTAAAGTCTGTGCATGGGTCCTAATGGCAGCATGGCAATTTATTTTATTTCAAACACTACCCGATTCCTTTATATTACTGTAGTTACTCTATCTGACTTGACAGATTTACTATAGTGATATGAAAGAATAAGGTGGTTCTTAACTTCTTTTGAGTAGTATATGATCATGGGTTCACATCCAAGATTAGCCATGATATTAATTCTTGGTTGGTCTGCACCATACCATTGCACATTGGTTTGATCAAGGTGATACAACTTATATGCATTACTTAAGGGCAGCTTGAGCACCTTGATTAAAAACTTGAAAAGATTTGGAAAATATCTGTTGACAATGAGTTGGCGGTGCACATGATTTTCAAATCCTGCAATCGACCGAAATCTGCATGACAGTTTCGATTTCGGTGTGCGATTTTGATTTGACTATGCATAGACTCATTAGTCCACCAAAGTCTAACTCCATAATACCAGCCTAGTTCGGCAAGGGTGGAAACTGGACTTTTATAGTCAGTTAACTCTGTTGCCAAGAGAAGATGCTTAAGGGCTTCCTCTCACATTACTCTGACATCGAAACACTGTACAATGCCAATCGTCCCGAGGCAAAGATGTTAACTGACTGTAAAAGTCCAGTTTCCACCCTTGCCAAACTATGCAGGAATTTCCAGGCTGGATCGTAGCGCCACCAATGGCTATTACAAATTATGTCCCTTTTACGTCCTTCCTATTGACCAATCAGATTCAATCTCTCATACCATTTATATTTGCTTCAAACAAAATGGCGGTGCCCAGTCAAGACGATCTGATCGATAATAAAGATCTATATTGTAATAATACAGGTCTTACCCTGCAAAGTGCATCAAATCATGTGAGCATCTTGATTAAAAACATGAAAAGATTTGCAAAGTATCTGTCGACGCTCATTGTATGAGACACATGTTTTGCAAATCCTGCTGTTGACCGAAATCTGCACGTTGAAATCAATGTTGTTTATGAACCGGATGTCTAGTCCAGATAAAATATAACTCCGGAATTCCAGCCTAGCTCGGCAAGGGTGGAAACTGGACTTTTATAGTCAGTTAACTCCCTTGCCTCTGGAAGATGTACAATGCCATGCTAACTCCAACTCACTCACTCTATTGGGAATCAACTATTTATTATGGACAAGAAGGAACAGTGGTATTTCTTGACTGGTATCTAGTAAGAGTGTTGGCTTCAACTTTACTAGCACAAACTGACCTAATGTTGAAGGCAAGCCACAAGCTATGCCGTCACGAATATTGACCACTTTGGTGAAGCAATGAGCATGGACATGGGATGAGCAGAACAAAGATGATAATCAGCTCTCATCAGGGATGCTAACAACACATCATGGCATGAATCAAAGCCAGCCCCCATCGAGTCCCCATTATATAACCCTGCCCTAGGTGTCAACGTTTGGGCCCTCCATGTGATGATGAAAGACAAACATGAGTCTGGAATCATGAAAATAACAAATAACAGTTGAATGGGGGAACTTGAAGTCTATATCATCGAACATGCCTAGCTGAAACAAATTTCTTGTTGTTTCGCCATGCTTTGAAGCACACTTAAAAATTGATATGGAATCCCGTAACTGAAACTACAAGTGCTAGACCATAAAAAAATTGACAGCATATTGCATTTTTTAAATGATTATGTGCAGAAATTATATTTTAAATTGTACCAAACTAGGAAACAGTAGCATTTATTCAAAAACCTGCATCCCAGTAGATGCAGTCTGTATTTTGGGGGATCATTTTCAAATTTTTAGGGGTATTAGCGTAGACCATCTAGGTCAGAACATAAAGTCCCCAACTACCCATGCTTGTCATTAGAGGTTACTAAATGGATGGGATGTGGGATATTTGGGTCCCGACCAGACAATCCAGTGATTGACATCATGAGCATCGATCTACGCAAGTGGAATACGATGACATGCATCAACCAAGTCAGCAATCCTGATCACCCGACCCTGTTAGTCGCCTCATTAGAACGACAAGCGTAGTCGCCTTTATGACAAGAATAGGTTGCTGAAGACCCAGTCTACCCCGGATCTACACGGGTCTCTCTACATGTACGACCAATACACACATTTACTATGAAGTCTTTCAGCTTCTCCAGACTTGGCCTGATGTTTGTAGTGAGTTCCATCTCCACCTGCTTCTTCATAGTGTCTCTGTAACAAGAGTAATCAGAAGATGACAAATCCCCCGGCCCCTACAAATTCGAAGGAACAAATTATCTGCTTGTTAAGTCCACTTGATGAAGAATTTCTATCTGATCTGTCTGTCAGTATACAAGAGTAGTTATTGAGCTATCAAAACAATACCATGGAATTGGGATTCGGAACTTAGTATTTCTATGTCAGGTACACACCAACATGACCAGTCAACGTCAAACTTGTTGCCAGGGAAACGGGAAAAATATAAATTTTAATAATCCCTAAATAGCAAAAGGCACCAGATGACATACTGGTCATATGTGTGCATAGTTCTAAGGAAAAATACCTTTTAGTTTTAAAGATGTAGTCAAAGTCAAACTTCTTGCCATGGAAACAGGAAAAAAAAATGTCTAAATTCCAAAATAGTAAAAGGCACCACTTCAACCCCTGAATAATACATGTTGCAAGTTTGATTCAGCACTGTTGAACAGTTTTTTAGTGCTGCTCCAGAAATGACACCTAGTGTCCATTTCAGCAAAGTCTAACTAATGAAATTTTGAAACATTCCTAAATAGCAAAAATAATTTTTTTTTAAATTACAAAATAGCACAAAAGGCACCACTTCAGCATGTGACTGATACATCTTTCAAGTTTCGATCAAATATACTGAATGGTTTTCGAATTCTGCCCCGGAAACGAACCCCATCCTCAATGGAGTCTATGTCCAACTTCTTTCCATAAAAATTTAAAAAAATAAAAATTCAAAAAATCCCAAAATATCAAAAGGCACCACTTCAGTATGTGACTGATAGATTTGCCAAGTTTCAACCAAATACACTGAATGGTTTTCGAGTTCTGCCCCGGAAAAGGAAATGATTACGGACAGAGACAGACAGACAGACAGACAGACAGACAGACAGACAGACAGACATATATATGCCCGGGGGGATAACAACCTGAATGTGCAAACAAGAAACAAGGTCAATTACAAAAATTATCTCGGAATTACCGAGATATATGCCCCAAACAATATACAGTCAAGTCCCATTAATCCGATATGGTTGGTTGGATATGCCTATGTCGGATTAACGAGTATGTCAGATAAACGAAATTAAGTAGTATTAACGTTTGTGATCGAAAATCGGACAACTACATGATAGATAACGATACAAACACAAGATTGAGGTAATCTGATGATTAAATCTGTTTTGTTTATTTAAAGAATTAATTGATTATTGTTAAGCAAGTTTATCTCTGCAGCCAGTGTAATATGAAGCTACCAGCCGACTCGCATCCCAACACGAGCTGTGTACTCACCGAGTACGCAGATGACCACAGAGTACGCTGATCACTGTGTCGGATTAACGAGTCTGATTCATGAGTGATCTCGGTAATTCGTTACAAATTTGGTGTGTCGGAATGTGAGACTGTCGGATTAATGGGTCTTTATAGCACTGATTTAATAGGTTGTGATCATTAGTGTTGGATAAAGCCGATTGTCGGATTAACAAGTGTTGGATTAACAAGACTTGACTGTAAGTAAGAGCAATATCATGAGGGGTGTGTACTAAGTACATACAACTCGTCTGTAGAAAGTGGCCCTCCTGACTTGAGTAACGGCGCCATCAGTAAGGAGTCTTCAACAGGCTCTGTGAGCATCATCTCCATCTGGCCTGGCACCACAGCCTGATGAGAGACAACAGCCAGCATCATGTACACGCAGTGGTAATCTAAAGTGTGGTTCATGTTTAACACCACCCTCAGCAATATTCCAGCTATGTGACAAGTATATTGTTATTCAAACAAAGCATTTGTAGTGTATCCTTTTTTGTATCAATAATTGATGAACAATTCAATAAAATAAAATCTTTTACTCCATAACAATGCTTCTCTTCATAAAGTTCGAGCTATATGACAAGTATATTGTTATTTAAACAAAGCATTTGTAGTGTATCCTTTTCAGTATCAATAATTGATGAACAATTCAATAAAATAAAATCTTTTACTCCATAACAATGCTTCTCTTCATAAAGATCTAGTGACACCACCATAGGATTTTTTTTCTTCTTTCCCGTGAAGATTCAGGGTAGAATAGGTATTCAGCAACCCATGCTTCACATAAAAGGTGACCATGCTTGTCATGAGAGGTGACTAACGGGATCGGGTGGTTAGGCTCAATGACTTTGATGATGCATGTCATTGTATCCCAATTGTGTGCATCGATGCTTATGATATCAATCACTGGATTGTCAGTTTACAGATCGCCCTCATTTAGCTGAATATTGCTGAGTGCGGTGTTAAACACACAAACAAACAAACAGGGAAATTAGCCAATGAGCATTGAGGCTTCTAAATACTCGGTACAAACAAGTGGAGCATTCAGATCTATGTTTGTAAATTTCTAAACAAGTGAAACTGAATTGTTCCCAATGTTGATAATTAAGGCCACACTATTATATTGTTGTGGATATTTATAACACAGTCGTTTCTGAGGACCATTGCATCGTCACTCAAAAGGGAGTCCCATTGCAAGAATATTAATGCTCTATGTGGGTTTTCCAGTATACAAATCAAATTTCCGAACTGGGGTGGTGTAGAAATGAAGCAAATAATTTTAGTCAGCTGATTGGCTGAAAATTCCATGCATCCATTTACATGGGATGATCTAAGTTTGCTCAGGGTTCCCCTGACATGGTCTCCTGTTGGGTGTCAGAGAGGCATCGGGTGGGAGTAAAAGATCTCACTTCAATGAGATTGAAGACAGGACTGACTTATGGATTCACCTTATATTTTTGCATGTCTTATCAATCTACTTGTCAAAAATCCTGTCATCATACCAACTTGTACTGTGTGTCATTTTGCTTCATCAGCTTTCCATTAAAGAGTATTAAGTTTCGGCCGATTCTTGTTTCGTACTATCGGATGTTCAGTACAATCCCATGTTTGGTACTCTATGCCATGTTTGGTACTATATCCCATGTTTGGTACTATCCCATGAGTGATACTCTATCCCATGTTTGGTACTGTCCCATGAGTGATACTCGATGCCATGTTTGGTACTATATCCCATGTTTGGTACTCTATGCCAGGTTTGGTTCTCTATCCCATGTTTGGTACTATCCCATGAGTGATACCCCATCCCATGTTTGGTGCTATATCCCATGTTTGGTACTCTATCCCATGTTTGGTACTCTATCCCATGTTTGGTACTCTATCCCATTTTGGTACTATATCCCATGTTTGGTACTCTATCCCATGTTTGGTGCTCTATCCCATGTTTGGTACTATATCCCATGTTTGGTACTATATCCCATGTTTGGTACTATATCCCATTTTGGTACTATATCCCATGTTTGGTACTATATCCCATGTTTGGTACTCTATCACATGTTTTGTAATCTATCCCATGTTTGGTACTATATCCCATGTTTGGTACTCCATCCCATGTTTGGTACATGTTTGGTACTATATCCCATGTTTGGTACTCTATCCCATGTTTGGTACTCTATGCCATATTTGGTACTTTATCCCATGTTTGGTACTATATCAGATGTTTGGTACTCTATCACATGTTTGGTACTCTATCCCATGTTTGGTACTATATCCCATGTTTGGTACTATATCCCATGTTTGGTGCTATATCCCATGTTTGGTACTCTATCCCATGTTTGGTACTATATCCCATGTTTGGTACTCTATCCCATGTTTGGTACTCTATCCCATTTTGGTACTATATCCCATGTTTGGTACTCTATCCCATGTTTGGTGCTCTATCCCATGTTTGGTACTCTATGCCATGTTTGGTACTATATCCCATGTTTGGTACTCTATCACATGTTTGGTACTCTATCCCATGTTTGGTACTATATCCCATGTTTGGTACTTTATCCCATGTTTGTTACTATATCCCATGTTTGGTACTCTATCCCATGTTTGGTACTATATCCCATGTTTGGTACTCTATCCCATGTTTGGTACTCTATCCCATATTTGGTACTAGGGTATATCCCATGTTTGGTACTCTATCCCATGTTTGGTACTCTATCCCATGTTTGGTACTCTATCCCATGTTCGGTGTTATCCCATGTGACACAGTGAGTGTTAATATGTACATGGAAACATTCCACCATCTACACACTACACTCACGCACCAAGGCATGCTTGTGCATAGTAAGTCCTTCCTTTATTCCTTGTTTCAAGACTGGGATCATTTGGAGAATCTGGAAAACATTCATTCCAGTGTGTGTGAAATCATTGGGTAAATACAAACATATACCATGTATACAAGTGTAAGTTATCAAAGATCGCAATCATCTTAAAATGATATGTTCAAGTATAAACCAAAGAGTGAGTGACTATCGTTTTACGCCGCTTTAAGCAATATTCCAGCAATATCACAGCGCGGGACACCAGAAATGGGGTTCACACATTGTAACCATGTCGGTATTTGAACCCGGGTCATCGGCGTGACGAGTGAACGCTTTAACCACTAGGCTACCCGACCGCCCCTATAAACCAAAGAGAAATATCAACACAGCCATGCTCTCAAGAGCTGTAACATGACATTCCTAAACCAGTCAGTGTACAGATTTTTTCTCCAAAACTGTTGAGTTGGTGGTGGCAACAATAACAATAATTATATATCTTAAATTAATACATGTACAATATTTTTTTTTCATAAAAAATCCAATTAACAGGCTTTCTAAAGTAACTACATAGATGGCTAGTATTCTCTTAAATGTCCAAAGGATACTGACCGTCCTAAATGTATCTACTTATAAGATAACTGAAATTATAGATTGATCAGGGACAAAAAGAGACTTTCCTCAATTTCTTTTAGCCTTTTCTGTGATATTTTGGATCAGCGCAATTGATCCATGAATAAAGTAATCAAAAGAAAAGTTTTATTTCGTATCAAGGGAATACAAGAATCCATCTCAACCCTTCAGAAAGGTGACACATCTCTGAAGGACTTCATACCTGCATCCATTCATTACACTTTCAATAGGAATGAGATATTGCTATAAGGATATGCTGGGAGAAGATTGGTAGCTTGTTACAAATTTACTATCAAAATGTGAAAATATGTCATTCAATGCTATGATATATTAAGTATCGATGCCTCCTTGTTTTTATTGTCCTCTGAGAATGACTGGTTTAATCACCAACTTGATGAAAAGAAGCTATCTTCCTCATGACTTACCCTGTGAGGCAATGCCTTGAGTCGGGCCAGATACTTCGTGAAGCCTTCCTGGGAGTCGAAGCCATGGTATTCAATCAGGTGGACCAGGTCATTGTGTATTCCCTCCATGAAATTTACAGGGAGCAGGTAGCTGAACATGTAGTGATGTTATTTAGCAAAATATTTTGTAGTAGTAGTAGTGGTAGTAGTTGGTTGGTTTGTTGTTTAACGCCGCACTCAGCAATGTTCCAGCTATCTGACGACGGTCTGTAAATAATCGAGTCTGGACCAGACAATCCAGTGATTATTATCATGAGCATCGATCCACGCAATTGGGATCGATGACATGCATCAACCAAGTCAGCGAGCCTGACCACCCGATCCCGTTAGTCGCCTCTGACGACAAGCATAGTCGCCTTTTACAGCAAGCATGGGTTGCTGAAGACCTATTCTACCCCAGATATCTTTGTGGGTGAGTAGTAGTAGTAGTAGTAGTAGTAGTAGTAGTAGTAGTAGCAGCAGTAGTAGCAGGAAGAGGAGGAGTGGCAAGAGCAATAGTAGTAGTAGCAGCAGTAGTAGCAGCAGTAGCAGTAGTAGTAGTAGTAATTGCAGTAGCAGTAGTAGTGGTAGCAGTAGTAGTAGGTTTTTTTGTTGTTTAACGCCGCACTCAGCAATATTCCAGCTATATGACGGCAGTCTGAATATAATTGAGTCTGGACAAGATAATCCAGTGATTGACATCATGAGCATCGATCCACGCAATTGGGATACATGTATCAACCAATTCAGTGAGCCTGACCACCCGATCCCGTTTGTCTCCTCTTACGACAAGCATAGTCCCCTTTTACACCAAACATTGGATGCTGAAGACCTATTCTACTACGGGTAGTAGTAGCTGTAGCATTAACAGTAGTTGTAGTAGCATTAGCAGTAGTAGTAGTAGTTGTAGTAGTAGTAGTTGTTCTGGTGCAAAGTGTACAAAGTAGAGGGGACCATTCCTCACCATTTAAACTTTGCCCCATTCAAGTAGGTCGTCAGGTCTTCTGTGAGCAGGGCAAAACTGTCCTTGGTTACCTGGCAACAAGACGAGGCGTCCAACGCTTCTGCTTCCGACAGGAACTCTCGAACCTTTGTCTGAAAAGGTAAGAAAAACCTACTAATTTGTTATACATTGTCAAAGTCAAAATCTTGAAATTAACGTGAGCGTGAATTAAACGCAAGTGATCTTTACTTGCATTAGTTACCTTTGCATTTATGACTCCAAATGACTATCAACAATAAGACGGCTTCACTGCACACTTTGGATAGGGGAAATAACAAATTGAATATACACAAACACGTTTTATTGAGCAGCAGTTGTAACAAGTATATAATAAAGTCATTCAAAGAATAGGAATTACACAATGGGCATCCGGTGAGTTATCACTGCTGGGGTCAAGAGTTCTACCCACTCATGTCAAGCTTCTCCGCATACAAATCAGTGAACTGTTGTTGATTCAACTATTGGCTTTGAATTTCCTTAATGCCAATCAACAGAGTAAACATATAAACTGTATGTTGTTTATTGTTTTGACGGGAGTGCTCTACTCAGTGCTGATAAGCAGTGCTATTTGCTGTTTGATTGAATTAAGGTAAGCATATGTATCATTCCACTGGGGATGGGGTGGGGGAGTCGCATTGATATAGAGTCGTTTGGCTAAGGGTCAGCAGTCGTATTAATTTCCAGATTTCCAGTATTAGTTCCAACGGTTTCTCAAACCTGGGTCTCCAATGGGATGTAGTAAAGGAACAACCTTTAAAGATGGTCTAAAGATGGCTGCAATTAAGTCTGAACAAGCATGAAATACTCATATCCCCCACCAATATGTCCGGTCTAAGTCAAAGTCGTTGCCATGGAAACTCGAAAAATAAATTTTCCAAAAATCACAAACTATCAAAAGGCACAAGGTCACCACTAGACCTATCTATGTGCCAAGTTTGGTGAAGACATCTTTCATGGTTTTTGAGTTCCTCTCCGGAAACAAAATGTGATCAACGGAAGGACAGCCCCCATTAAAATATACTCCTTCCACTTCGTGGCGGGGGATAATAATACTTGCCAATTAGGGAAGATCAACAGCATCATTTATCTAATAGTTACTGGGCCTGTATCAGGTAAATCATTGGCTGAGTGTGTGGGGGAAATGTCTTGTAACAGGTTAACTAATGGCTATGTGTGCGAGACATGTGGTCTGGAACAGGATCACTATTTTTATCATATAATGGGTAGGTTTCTCGGCAGGATAAAGCCAACGGATAAAAACGATATCCATTGGGGTTATATTAAAATAGTTGGATTTGGCCGAAATATGTTTGAATTGTTACCTTGTTTCGTTTTGTCGCTGTGTGTACATCTGACAATACTTCTTAACGTTATGATAGGACAGACCGACTGTCAGCAATGTCTGACCGTGGCCCTGACGTCTCATAGACTAGGGTTAGAGTAGCTTCCCTTTGACAAAGGGCAGTTACTCTAGCAGACAGACCGATGGATTGCTGCGAAAGGCAATTAAAAACAACTGTTGTTTTGCGTATATGTTGCTTCGCCACTGTATAAGAAACAGATTTCAGTTGGAACAGTATTGGCTACTGTCACTGTCCGACTGACACATCACTTACCCTGTGACTTAATAAATATTAATGCGTGCATTCCAAGAAACCTCGCAATGTTTCTGTAATGTTTGTGAGAGAGAGCAAGCGATTTTGAAGCACAGAATTAAAGAATGACATTTTATGATAAAGAGGTTACGGTATCACGCTTGTGTGTTTGGGGATGGTTGATATCCTGTATTAGGAATAAACACTATGTATTTAGCTCGCCAAGGCTCACTAAATACAATGTTTATTCCTAATGCAGGATATTTACCATCCCCAAACACACTCGCGTGATAACCTCTATGTGTGTGAACGGTCACGAAATAGCACAAGGCATGACGTAATACATTGAGCATTTCAGCATGCATTTATTATATACTCGTCGGAAAGAGCCTGATTAAACTCAGAATGTTTTACAAATTGCAGCCATGTGTCAATTTTTATTGTAAACAGTGTCCTTTAGTAGTTTAGTGTTCTTTTTGTGCACTGACGTTCTTTAATATACATTGTTCTTTCTTTACATGACGTCTTTTGTTTGCGAGTAGTTCATTGGTATCGTGTTGCATTTTGAATTCATTACATTTATTTGTATGTAAATAATTACTTTTATTTGAAACATACATTCTATATTCATAATATTTGACTATTATTGTATAGTTTTATCCTTTATTTCAGATTTGTTGACTGAATGGCCGTCGATAGAATTCAATGTTAAAAAATGCAAAGATAAAAAGATTTTTTTTTTTTAAATTTCAAACCAAATAATGTATTTTACCCAATTTTCCTGTCACTTCGGATTACAAGATAAATTATCCTTTTTCTTCATCTCATGCCTTCATACAATGTTAAATACAAAATACTATAAATACTGAACAAACAACTCACCTCTCTCTTCAGATATGCCTCTTCACTGATGTCATCCCAGCGGTCATCGTAGTCATGGTTCCCACAGTAGGAGGCAAACTCAGGACTGTCTTCTTGCCTCCACTGCCAGAACCTGTCAAACAGAGACTCCACATCCGCTGTGCCACTCATGACTGAATCCGAAGGCTGAAAAGTAACATTCATAATTATGATAATGTACACATTTCTACATAGGAGAAGACCCGTGAAGTTCCGGGGTAGAATAGGTCTCAGCAACCCATGCTTGCCGTAAAAGGCGACTATGCTTGTCTTAAAATGCGACTAACGGGATCGGGTGGTCAGGCTCGCTGACTTGGTTGATGCATGTCATCGATCCCAATCGCGTGGATCGATGTTCATGATGTAAATCACTGCATGGATTGTCTGGTCCAGACTCGATTATTTACAGACCGCCGTCATATAGCTGGAATATTGCTGAGTGCGGCGTAAAACAACAAACCAAACCAAAACATACATAGGAGAAATATGAAAATGCAAATCCTCCATCTTATCAACACTTCTTCCTGGACGAGTGGTTAGTGAACACCAGTACATTTTGAAAGATAATCATGGAAGATCCTTGCAAATGCAGGGATGTGAATGGATATTTTCTTTTTAAGCTGAAACTTCTTTTCAAAGGAGTGTGATCCATAAGTGAGGGGAGTTTATTAGGGGTCGGGGGTCTTGACGCCCCTGAAGCCATCAGATTTTAACAAATTTGTGGTCACTAAAATTCGTGGAAATTCGCGGAAGATTCTCACCCCTGCAAATGTTTAAAACAAGCCTAGAATTTTATCTAAGATGATGTATAAAAAAACTTGTGGCATTCATGGTCAGATGTTTTCAGCAACAAAAAAATAATTGAATACTGTGGCTAACAAACAAAAAATATTTAGCAAATTATGGGCTTGCATTTTTGTTTTTTAAGTACATCGGCCTGTTCCAAAAAGAAATTACCTACGTTGGACAAATGTGTAGCAATACTCTGAATACCTGTATGACACAGTGACTCGATCAGGTTTTCCCATGTTTTCCTGACATGGCCAATAACTAGTATACTACTTGTTATGTTTGGAAGCAAATTAATGCATTAAAAACACTTTAAATAATCTATGTCTTTAACAAAAGCTATTCACGTTATTTTATCACCCTTAATGAAATATCCCAAAGATTTGTAGTAGCTATCATCAGAGTGAATTATATGACTGTAAAAGAAGAAAAAATCCGCAAACAAATTTATCGTTTGGATTTGTTTTGATGACGGTAATGCTACCACCAAACAACATAGAAAGAAAAGCAAAACAACAAGAGTGCACTCCCTTTGATCCATGCTCGGCAATCCCCGCCCTGAAGGAGATTACACATAAAAACGGACATTCACGTGACTATTTGTACACTGCGGGATGCATATACCTCATCAACACAAACAATGTCAACATACACAAGTGGTGACGTACATATATCAGGCGAATAATCACTGCTTTTTAACAGCAGCCGCAAAGGTCAACCTTCTGCTTCAGAAAAAGCCGGAAGTCCCAATTGACCCCATTATAAATGAATATTCATGAGTCGGCTTTGCACGCCGTTTTCCTGCATATTCGATTTACAACACAATATCGATTGACATAATAGAATTTAAACATTCATAACATTGACATAACAACGCATTAGTATTATTTTTTTCGTTTGCACGATATTGTTTTAATAAAATTTAATATCCTGAACTTGAAGGAATTGCAGAAAGGTACACTAGCTAACGTTCACCCAGATAGCATTCAGACGTTGGCCCAACGTCGGCAATGGTTGGCAGTGTCGCGGTCGGATTTTATACGTTGGCCCAACGTTGTTACAACGTTAGGTCGCATTTCGGAAATTATTTCCAAGGGGCGCTACTCGTAATTGACAACTTCACAGAGAGGGCGCTGCGTTTTTTGCGCTTCCAACGAGCAGACGACGAGACACAAGCACACGTTCGATCATCGGAATACCGTTTTCCTCGAATATAAAGAGGTAAGTCTTTAATCATTATCTAATATGATGTACAAACAGTACCCGAGAATAAAACAACCATTGTTCATTCAGAAATATCAACACGAGTAATTATTTTCCAGAAATTGAAAACACCACAAACTTCATCAAGTTCATGACCCGAAGCCAAATAGGAATATATGTCACTCTGATTGCTTGCAAATATATAGCTTGCTATTACTAGCATACCCCCAAAAAAGTCGCGCTTGTCCGTATCATAAAGTTTGTCGTTATCGTGAGGACAAGTTAGTGCAAAGAAATGTGCACCGTGTCGCGTAAGTGCAGTTGCAGTGTCGATCTCAGCTGTTTCTAACAGTTGGTGGTCATCGGACAGCGAGCGACCACATGACTACCTAAACAAACACTGACTGTGGTATTTGTAAATGAATACTGGTTGTTTCTATTCTCGTGGAAGTTTAAAAATAACAAGCAAACTCAACTGAAAAGGTCAATTTCGTTCTCGCTTGTGCAATTTTACGGTCAAAAAGATCAACTAAACTGAACAATTCAGAACGAGGCTTCCAAAACTCAAAGCATTCCGTGTACATGATAAAATAATACCATGCAGACTCCTACTGATCAGTGTACGGAGCTTTTCCCTGTTGTCGGCAACATCGCGAGTTCAGTTTTCGATCACAAATCAGTGGCCGTGGGATTGCGTTTGTTGTTATTTGAAAGGGATTGATAATGGCATAATCGCTTTTTTATTTGTGCATACCGCGGGGGAGTAATGGTTAGAACGAAGGGAACGTATTGGATTAGATTGGGTACGAAATAGTCATGAAGTCATTTCCGATTGAGAATAATATATTTCAATAAATATTTACAGAGCTGTTTCAGCTTCATCTTGTGTTGTCTCCGATATCGCATTTTGTTAATTTTTCCAACGTTACTATCTTTGTAAATGTTAGAACTTAGATATCATGGCATATTTATATGGAAAATATTCATATTTATATTTTTAAAATAAAATAGAATCTAAAATCACGATTTTAATTTAATACCAGTGTTAACACTTCTATTACTTATTGGAAGGTCAATTCATAATCTTATTCAACATTCATGCTTCCAACATTGGAACTCTTTATTTGGCAATATATTTTTTTTTTTCATTTATTTGTTTATTTTTCACATCAGATTTTAGAAACTTTGCCAACATATGCATGCTATTTTGCATTATTTTTTACTTGATCACAAGTTTGTGAGGTACAGCAGAAACGTAAAGTTATTGCTTTTGAATAATTACAGTTGATTTCTATTGGCTGATAAAACTATTTGCCAAATATAACCACTCACATCATACTGTTAGTAAATCAGATTTATCGCTACTGATTTATTTGAGAATGTTATACTTTGAGGTTTCTATTTTTCTTTCAGGTGGAGTTTACAGTATTGTGGAAGCATATTTGTTTACATCACATCACAGCCAGAAAGGTATACATGATGCAATAAATAATATATTCAAACATCTTCAATAATGGAAATTTAGATGATTCTTATTTAATTACACCCTCAATCTAAAAGGGCGGGTGATCAAGTTTATCTGTCCGTCCTTCCTTCCAAAGACATTTTTTTTGTGTGAGTGCAGTTCAAAGTTTGATTTTGATATGTATATTTTCGGAAAAATAAGATTCTTTAAATGTTTTTAACTTCAAATATTTCTTTTTATGTCAACCTTTGTGCGACCTATCACTTGAACACTACTTCATGGATTCTTTTCCAATTATGGGTACAGTTTCTACACCCACAGGAGAGGTGCAGTGCGAAGTTTGGTTTTGATTAGTGTATTTTCTAAGAAAAAATAGCTTTTGTTATGATTTGAACTTAAAATATTTTTTATTTCAACAATTGTGCTACCTATAACTTGAGATCTACTAGAGAACATGGATTCTGTCCAAATTTAACGAACACTTTTATATTAAAAAATGGGATGCACAGCAAAGGTTGATTTTGATATGTGTATTTTATTAAACAATATAATTTTTGTACATGTTTTGAACTTAAAATGTTTGTTTTTTAATTCAACATTGTGCGACCTTTAACTGCATGGATTCTTTCCAAATTTAAGAAACACTTTCTATGCTAATAAAAGAGGTACAGTGAAAATGTTGATTTTGATATGTGTATTTTCAGAAAAAATATGATTTGTTTCATGTTTTGAACTTAAAATTATTTTCTTCAACATTTGTGAGACCTATAACTTTATGTGCAGTGCAAAGTTTGATTTTGATAATTATGCTTTTTCTATGTTTTAAACTTTGAAAAATGAATGAGTCGTTACTCTTGTTCATTTAGTGTTAATAGCTTTTCTGCCTATCTATGATTCAAGAGCATCATGGTATTACTGTCTATGCTACCTTCCCAGTTTTAGCAGTTTTTTAACAGTTTTATGACTTGGATGGGTGGAGGTAGCACTGCTGAAACCTTTTTTTCATACATCAAATTATTATTTAGGGGAAGGCAACCATTTTGTATGTAAAAAATGTCCCTTGCCTTATCATTATTATGATTGTGTCATTGTTTTATTCAGTTACCAAGGCACACAGAGAGACCGTGGATACAGTTGAAGATCATCCCTGTGATAAGTTCTTCTGACATCTGAGGATTGAAAAGGCTCCTCAACCACTCAGCCCAAGTTCTGATTTGTCATGTAACAAATAAATAAAGGTCACCGAAACCAGAATTCTATTGTCATTTTGTTGCTGTTATCATATTTTTTAATAGATCAAGTATATTGATCATAGGACATCCGATGCATGGACGATTTTGCTTGTCTCAGTGTTGCCCTAATGCTGAATGTATGGGGTAAGGCCAAGAAAAATTAAACGTTTCAATTTGTGGCAGGCTTATTGTCTGATGGTTTTTAATTTGCAAACTTGTGTGAAAATCATTTATCTTTTAATAGTGTTGAAACATTTGTGAACAAATTGCACATAGTCTTGAAAATGGTTTTGGAAAGTAAATATTATAGCACCAAATTGCACGTGTAATTTAAAACATTTTGAATTTTTTCTTGGCCCTATTTCAAACTATGTATGCCGAGGTACCCTTCCAGAAGAGAGCGCATTTAATTGGCATGTTCTTTCATGGAATGAGTTCAGAGTGAATCTAACTTGCAGAATGTATTCCTTGTTACCTGATGTCTTAACTACCTTGGTACAAACATTTCAGGCTGCCTGGGAGGTATAGTGAGGAATAAAACAGACGTAATCCAACGTTGGCCATCAACGTTGGGCCAATGTTGGCTATCAACGTTGGCCCAACGTCATTTTGACCGGCGGCCCAACGTTGGGCCAACGTTGGCTGAACATCGTTGTCCCAACGTTGGGTAAACGTTGGCCCAACGTTGGCAAAGAAACGTTGGCCCAACGTTGGGTCAACGTTGGACCAACGATGTTCGGCCAACGTTGGCCCAACGTTGGGCCGCCGGTCAAAATGACGTTGGGCCAACGTTGATAGCCAACGTTGGCCCAACGTAAGTGATAACGTTGGCCCAACGTTGGCCCAACGTCTGACTGCTATCTGGGCAGCGTTCCCAATATCAGTTAATTAGCGATCGAGTGAGTATGTTTTAGGCATCTTTTAGCAAATTCCAGCAATATTTCGGCGGGGGACACCAGAAATGAGCTTCACGCATTGCAACGAAGCCGGGTCTTTCGGGTGACGAGTGAACGCTTTAATCACTAGGCTGCCCCACGGCCCATCTTAAATATCAAGACTCAAAAGAAATACATATATCTACAGATCATTTGTGAGTATGTAAAATAAAATGTGTATACCTCGTTCGTCCTTCCTACTCCCCGACAACTCCTGCAAATATCCACAGTCCCGTAAAACCCTTACCGGACCTCACATATGAGTGTTAAGTTATACTAAGTGAGGTGATCGTTATTTATGAGATACTGTGTTTTCAATGTCGAGCAAAATGTTATCTATATATAGACTTGCCTGGGCGCTTATTTTAAAGTGAAGCCGAACGTTAAATTTCGGGCCTTCAATTCTACAGGAGCTGTGTTAAATTATTGTGATTTGAAACCTCTGACCAAACAGTAAAGTAACGTCCAAAATAAGTCATGATATTGTCTAAAAACATAACAAGGACTTCATTGAAACAGTTTAGAATAAAACATTTTCTGTGGGAGAAATATAGCTCGTTTGTTATTTATAAACACGTTTACTACTTTCACAGGCAAATGTTGTAACTCGGCTGTCGTGTTAAATATATAACCAAACCTACAATCTACTACAGATTAGCTTACAATTAAGTAACAATTAAAATTACACTCTCAGCTAACACATCAAACGTTGCTATTTTCACCGATAGAGAGGATTAGCAGAGTGTGTCAAAGTATCGTAAAGGCTCGCATGATAATTTGTGTATGCCTCATAATATATTTCAATAACACACGTGGTTAATAATCTGTTATCATACATAGTGTCAATTTCAAAATAATAGACGTATAAGATATGATATTGTAACTTTAGAAAAAGCGTAGGAATACACTGTTTGAGCCGCCCCATGTATAATATATACAGTCAAGTCCCGTTAATCCGACATCGATGGTTGCATATGATTGTGTCGGATTAACGAGTATGTCGGATAAACGAAATTTAGTAGTATCAATGTTCGTTATCGAAAATCGGACAACTACACGACAGATAAGGATTCAAACACGTTATAAAAAATATAAAATATATACCATATTGTTATGTTAAATTATTGGCGGAATATGTTTTCTAATCATTCAACCTCTAAAGTTTAACACAAAACAACTGTTACGGACTGTTTGACAGATTCAAAATACTTTAAAAAGCATAGTCTGGAATGGAAGTCGCAACTTTGAAACTGGTACCCAAAGCTTAAGAAAGCTGCTTTCTAAGTGGCTAACGTCGACTTCCTGTTGGTCATTTCATTGGTAGGTCATAGTTCGCGAAAGGTTGTTCTGTGTGTTCTGTGTGTTTACATAAAGCAATCACTCATTCGGAAACCTATACTTCTTGCAAACGTTTTTTAGCAGGTTGGATTTGCATCTATGTATACAAGATTAACTTAATGTATAGAGCTTGCTAAATGACCCCATTTGCATATTTATCTAATCGCGATATCAAGTTTATCGAATTGGTTTGTCGCATCGTTAACACTATCCATCCCATGATTGATAGATTAATGAGTCACATTCTCAACACTCGATCATTGCGTGGTGATCATGAATGATTGGTATTATTTGAACACACTTTTTATGGTACCATGCGTGACTGATATAACACATGATGTCTTTTAAAAACATGCCGGAGGTAGCATCGGGTACATTTGGAAAAGGGGGACACGGGTGGCCCGGTCGTCTAAGGCGCCGCGATTCGCTGTGCAGAGTTGTTTCCCTTGGGCACGCCAGAAACCTATGAGTGTGGGTTCGAATCCCGGTTCGCTCCGATTATGTTTCTAGGTTTGTCAGCACCACACCCGTGCTCGTGGGTTTCACCGAAGTGGTAAACGTCTGAGACCTGCATGAAATGATGATGATGTAACGATAAGATTTATGGATGAACATTTTCTTTATTACAATTAGGAACGACGTTTCGGTGTACGTTCTAACTACGTTATCAAGCAAGCGACCTACACAGAAACGTCGTTCCTAATTATAATAAAGTAGCTGTTCATCTATAAATCTTAGTACTCCAGCTTCTAAATGCCTCTCAAAGAAGCTGATGATAATAATAATAATCATTACCCCGATCTATGGATCAGAATGAACTCGATTTTCATTATCAGCTCCTTGGGCAGTATACAACATAAATTGCTTGCGAGGCGCTAGAAGATTACTAGTCACATTATAAGCTCATCCTACCTGTCGAACAGACGCATATTACGAACAGAAATAATATCCGTCTGTTCACCCAGTTGGAAATGGGTACCCCCCCCCCCCCCCCCCACACACACACACACACACAAAGCTACACGACACGATATGTAAAGTGGAGTATCACATATTCAAAAGCAAAATAAAAAATTAATGATAACTAAGAATTAATAATAATTATGGTAATATGGACTATATGGATTCTCTACTTGATCGATCTCCTCTGTACACAGTAAACCACAGCATTATTTAATGCGCATAAATAAAAAAAGTCCTTTGAGATCAAACCGTTTCTGAGGAGAAAATATGACGTTACAGTTATGAAACTTATCAAATGTTTTCAGTTGAATGAGAAAGGCATTTCAACACTCGCATGTTTGGAACACAGAACAAAGCTAAATGTATAGGTAAGGCTCCGTGCAAAATCGATAGAGGTCTTAAAGAAGCATATTTCTAATTAATGTATTTGAACATGCGCTATTCTTTGACCAAGCTGAATTCCTTATTAGGAGATGTAGATAAAGACAGTGGTCTACACTTGCAGACGGTACAGACATATGGTACAGGCATCCGTATTGGTCACAGACTTGGTCTCAGACTTTCTCTAAGTACTCAAATGACGTCGACAAATTGAAATAATCAGACAATTTTTCAACACGACTTGGGTAAAGCACCAAAAACGTTAATGCAGAATTTGATCCGAAATGTTGAATTTTTAAAAATATTCTTCGGAAAGCCACTGTCCACCTGTAGCCTATTTGAACCCTCATCAAAGCAAACATAGTGAGTAATGTGTCAGTACCACATCTACTTAACCCTTTGAGTGAAGCAAGTAGGCCGCTTTTAGCAATATTACCGCATTATCTCGGCGGGGGGACCAGATCGGGCTTCACACTTTGTGCACACATAGGCCAGCCAACGTTTTAACCACGAGGCAACCTTCCGCCCCTGGTAAGTATATAAGCTTCATCCCATGCACACTAAAGCACCTTCATCGTCTGGACAGGAATGAGAAGTCTCTAGCCATGGTGGGTCTCCTGCGTTAAACTAAATATATATACCTGTCACAAGATCATTAGCATTAATAGGAGTTGACAAATGTAAAGCTGTAGATATAGATGCGACAATACTACTGTCATGCATACCTAATCGGAACTATTGTAGTAGGTGTATTTACATTTGTCGAGTTAATGAAAGAAAAAAGTGAAGAAGAAAAAAGATTTTAACGTAAATAAACGAGACTGGTGCGTGCGCTCTACCACCATCACAGTTTATGACCGTATGTTGGCAAAGTAGAGTTGCTTCCCTTACACCTACATGACAAACGCGCTACATAACATGATGATGGGTAAAGGTTCAAAGTGTCACCACGCGATGTACACACCAGTGCGCTGATTAGGACCAGTGCACATACAAAGGTAGACTTGCCCAAGTCTCTAAGGCAATGATTATTAGTTTAATAATGATTCCTCTTATATAAATATTAAGAACACTGGCGTCCTTAGTCGGTCCGCTCATCTAAACTTGCCTATTATAAGGATAGAACTACCATACACCCATGGACTTATCATTAAGTATAGACTTGGAGTTAGGCTAAAACAATACGTTGTAAGCTTTCCGTGAGCTTTTCATATACACTCACAAATGACCGTCAATAGGTCCACTCACGTGGCCTACACCTCTGTTGCCGCTGTGAATTTTGGTAAAATCGGCCGAACTTGTCGAATGTCTCAATACAAATATGCAGCGTGACAGATCTGTGAACGGTTGACACAAGCTATTCTATAACACACCAACAGCACATTATCATCAAATTGAGACCATTGAATGATTGACACTTTCTGCTATAACACATCGAGCAAACAATCTTTATGTCAGATCATTGAGTGATTGACATAAACTATGATATAACAGATGAACAGCAACATATCACCATGTCAAATCATTGAATGATTGACAATAACTGTGCTACAACACATCAACAGCACAATATCTACACCTCAGATCATTGAATGATTGACACTGACTATGCTAAACGCATCAACAGCACAATATCTTCTCCTCAGATCAGTAAATGATTGACACCAACTATTTAAAAACACGTCACTAGCACAAAATCTTCATGTCAGATCATTGAATGATTGGCACTAACTTTGCTATAACACATCAACAGCGCAATATCTTCACCTCAGATCATTGAATGATTGACACTATATAACTATGCTATAACAAATCAACAGCACAAAATCTTCATGTCAGATCATTGAATGATTGACAATAACTGTGCTACAACACATTAACAGCACAATATCTACACCTCAGATCATTGAATGATTGACACAAACTATGCTATAACACATCAACAGCACAAAATCTGCAAGTCAGTCCATTGAATGATTAACTCTAACTATATGCTAAAACACATCAACAGCAAAATATCGTGTCAAATCAGTAAATGATTGACACCAACTATTTATTAACACATCAACAGCACAAAATCTTCATGTCAGATCATTGAATGATTGATACTAACTATGCTACAACACATCAACAGCAAAATACCATCATGTCAAATCTGAACGATTGACTGATAGACATTGACTATGATATAACTTACCAATAGTACAACGTCTTCACGTTAGATTAGTGAATGATTGACACTAACTATGCTATAACAGATCAACAGCGCAATATCTTCCACGTCAGATTAGTAAAGGATTGACACTGACTGCTATAACATACTAACAGTACACTATCTTCATGTCAGATTAGTGAATGATTGACACCAACTATGCTATAACAGATCAACAGCGCAAAATCTTCACGTCAGATTAGTGAATGATTGACACTAACTATGCTATAACACATCAACAGCAAAATACCATGTCAAATCAGTGAATGATCGACACTATCTATATTATAACACATCGACAGCACCGGGGCAACAAGTGATGTATATCTCCGTGTGCAATACACAACAGTAGACACAACACCAGCGCGCCTGCATTCCGTGTTTATCTGATTCATCGAAATGTGGCTTTTCTAAAAAGAAAATA